TGCCTTGTGTCACAAGCATTTCCGGCCGTGGGATACTGCGACGAGTCATATGAAATAAAACATGGAGGACGCTATGAAAATTCACCCGTCTCCATCACATTTCAAGTCAGATGCTTGGATGCATTTTAGCTTTAAAAACAAAGAAGGTAAAAACTAAATTGATATGATGCACGTAATTTGCAAAAGGGGAAATGTCATACATTTGAATGTTTTCATTTCATTGGTCTAAGGACCACTGAAGCCATGTAAACGGCACTGATTACCCTTATTTTGTTAATCCTAGGATCTTTTTGTCAGTGTGTCCACGCCAGTAATAGTAATATTTCTGTCCAGTATTTGTTTCCATGGCAACACCTCCAAAAGTCGTTTCAATAAATACAGCTATGTATGAATTCAGTTGTTTTCAGTTATGTATCAATTGAAGACACGATCCAGATCATACCCAGCCAGTCAGCCACTGGTAAGGGCTGGATCTTTTTCTTACAGTGTTCAGTGAAAATATCGCAATGCATCGCGATATTTCAAGTATCATGATGCATCGTGATAGAATCGCATCGTGACTTCTTTGCTAATACCCACCCCTACTCTGCGCAGGGGGCGTTGTCACGCACAGAGACAGATTTGACGGTTGCAGAGGCGATGTATCAGAAGCATAAATTGGCCTTAACTCTCACATCTGATTTGAACGCACTTTACTGGGTGGACAACGCACACTAAAACATATCGGGCAGAGACAGTCTGACATTTTGGATTTCCCCGATTTGCGATCAGAGCGGTCGCATCATGCATCCTTTTATAGCAGGAATTGATAAGAAAGTTATAATAACAAATCAGGGAAGGTAACTTCTGAGATACTAATAAAAAAATATGGATTCTAGGAGGAAACCAATAAACATAAAATTAGTAGGAAGAAATTTAAATTGAACTCTTTTCCAGTGCAAACCTGATAGAGATGTACCTCCAGATAACTGCAGCTTCTGCTAAGCTCAACATTTCTCAGATTTATTTATATATTAAAAAAAGAACAGAAATAATCATCAGGTCATCTTTTCCT